TCCCATGTCAGAGGTTTGTGTCTACTGTTATGTGAGCTACTGAGCTTCCATGTGAACGCTATCTGGATGGGACCCCAACATTCAGAGGATTCACCCATACTGGACAGGTCTATCAACTAACCAGTAGGTGTGAAGTAGAAGATACTTGTTTTACTATGTTATTACTATTCAAACTATGAACAATCATTATTTCTACTCCAGTAATTGATCACAGCACTAAACTTGTACTGTAGGGGGGGCGGTAGAAACACGTGGTGAAGTGAGTCAAGGCCAAGAACGAGATTCCTACATCACAAAAGCTAAGAAGCTACTGAGAAAAGACTGGGACACTCTAATGTGAGTGAGTGAAAGATAAATAGATAAATATGAACTTGGCAACTTAAACTAGCCAGGCCTGCCCTTTTTTTTATTCAAACAGGCCCTTGAAAGATCAAAACGTCATGTGATGTGACCCAAAGCTCTACAGACACACACACCATAGGATGTGACCCAAGCTTAGGGAATAATTACCAAAGATACTGGGAGTGACTGACAATTAATGTTTATAGCAGATAGTTTAAATGCCACCTGGCTTTCAGCGAGTGGTGACCCCACAGCTGGAATTTTGACACAAATTCAGTTTAGTTCTATTCAGGATTATAAAATTCAAACTTAGATGAGTGGATCAAATAGACATATTCAGTTCAACTTGAAATTCGTTCAAATTAGGCAAAGTTCATAAAAGCAGAGTTCAAATTAACGAGGTTCTACGATACTGTACATGTCTTCTTACTTCATATACTACAGGTTCCAGTTGGCAATTTAAATTTTTGTTGGACTTGTGCAAAGCATTTGTCGATTTACTTATGTTTAAATTTTTGTTTTTTTTATGGGGATTAGCCCACCTGGGCACAGATCAATGACCCACATCAGGGCTTGGGGGGCAGAAATGTAAATAAAAATAAAAATAAAAATAAAAATAAAATAATAATAATAATAATAATAATAATAATAATAATAATAATAATAATAATAATAATAACAATAATAATAACAACAATAATAATAATTAATAATAATAATAACTAACAAAATCTAATAAAAAATAGAAATGAAAAAAAAATATATGAAAATAATTAAAAAAGAAAAAGAAAAAGAAAAAACCAAGATCAATACAGTAGTAAGAAACGATCTTCAGTGGTCCCTCGGTTAACGAATTACCTTCTATAAAAATCTTCAATTCGGTTAACGAACAAAAATTTGATTAACGAAATCCTTACGAACATCACGTTTTGTTGTGAGCATCAGCTGATGGGCTAGTCTGCCAATTCAGTATTCTGTTCTATATTTACATTCATTTCCAGTGGAGTAAATATCAATAAAGTTGTGCTCTTGTGAACATCTATTTTGTTGGTGTCTTGAATATCTTTGCATTTTTCATTGAAATTAATGGTCATTCTGAAATTTAGTTAACATATTGATAATATATAGTGCAGTGTTGATTTAAATAAAATAATCTTGAATTACACCTAATGAACTTAAAATTTTATTGGTGAAATGACTGCATCATGCATGGGTCCCCTGAAAGGTGATTTCTCCTCCATCCCCACTTCCTTCTCTTCTCCCTTCTCTTCCACCCCCACTTCTAATTACCATCATCAACCAGGAACCTTCTACATACACACCTCAAAGTAAGTGTACTTTACTGCATTTTTTGTATTTACTTTGTATGTACTTTTTGGTGACCTGGAACCATTTACCCAATATCCCATTTAAACAATAGATTCGGTTAATGAACGACCTTCTGGAACGAATTGTGTTCGATAACCGAGGGACCACTGTACAGTATGTAAGTTTAGTGTTGTCAAAGTAAGGGAAACAATTGAGACCCTGCAACTGTGTGTAAATGAGGCATAAAGTCAGATCAGCAACCTGGGACTTGGTCACAATTTTTGTGATGCCATATGGAAGAAGGGTCTCCCATTAGACAATACATTATGCTTCCAATATCTTCCCCAGGCAGTAGTACCTCCCTGTTTGATAGCTGCCTATTACCTACTACCTGTAGATAGTGGAAACAAGTCTAAGTAAAGGTAAACCTCGATAAACGATGGGGTTAGGTTCCAGAAAAACCCATCTTTAAGTGGAACATCAAAGATGGGGATCATTATAATATGGGGTTCAATGAAATACACTCCCAGCCAGTCCCCAAATGCACATGTATCACTGATGAAAAATTCCTACACTTTAAATCAATAGAAAACAATTAAACAACACTCACCACATCATGAAGAACAAGCCTGGTTATCATCAATTATCTCCTTCGAGGCTACGGGGACTCTTAGGTGGGGTGGAGATGTCACTCAGACTCCCACAGTCCCTGGGGAATCTCTGCTGTTTCACAGTATCAAGCTTCACCTCAGACACACGTTTGTCTTGGATGCCTTAGCCTTCCCAGACATTTTCAAAGTTACACTGCTCACTTCAGTCACAAAAACAGAGCAAAAGCACCAGTCATAAAAAGAGTGAACGATGACGATGTAAAAACAATGATAGTGGCTGACACTGCTCACCATTTTCACAACAGAGGCAAAGCACTTTACAGTCACAAAAACAAAATATCACTTCAGTCACCATAACACAGTTCAGTCTAAATGTTAGTGCTGTCCTCTCACTGGGAAAAAATTGTAGAGGCCCCTTTACTAGTGTTTACAGGGGCTAGTCATATAATCATTCCACTTATCATTATCTTTGATATATTTGTTTTAATATTGTTTTAATTTTATTTCTTAGTATGTTTACTATTGAGTTTCCTTGTCAAATGTAAACAAACAAGGCTGCCAAATTGCACAAAACCTGATGGGCCCCTGAAAATGCACTAGTGAAGGGGACTGTACATACAGCCAATGATGCCGAATGACAATCGTGGAACTATATGATGACGGAGATGCGATTGACATAGTACCAACCAAGCGCAGGACTGTAGCGAGTCAAAATTTATTATCATGGCTGACAAGTGCAGTGAGATGCTTGGTGCATAGGGTTAAGAATTGTTTCCTTATAATATGTCATTGAATTGGTGTAGAAAAATATAATTTGCATTGCTGGAATCCTTACAAGACAGCGATTAATTTAAGTAGATAAAACCCATAATTTGCACTAGATAAAAAAAATCCAACCAACGGCTATCGTTAAAGCAATTTTTTTTTAAAATCATATATAGCGAGATGTCTTAATTCATGACCAACGTTAATAGCAGAATATTGCTGAACGACACATCGTTTATCGAGGTTTACCTATACAGTACAGTAATATATACAGTATATATATATTTCATGTAGATCCACAATTTTAACGAGGACAAGATAAATCTCGACACGCAGTACAGTGATCCCTCGGTTAACGAACGCCTCGGTTAAAAAAATTACGGTTAACGAATTACCTTCCATAAGAATCTTCAATTCGGTTAACGAAATTTTTACGGAATCATGTCAACATGTTTTCGCTTGCTCACAGCTGGAATATTAGTCCGCCAATACAGTAATCGGTTCTAGGGCTTAAATTTGCTCCCATTTGAGTAAATATCAAGAAGGTTGTACTATTCAATAATTTTCCAAGTTTTATATTAAATTTTTTTTGTCATTTTAACACTTATTTAACATAATTGCAGTACAGGAAACTAGTTTTTGGTGCGCCAATCAGCCACTTGACTCACCCACAAAGGCGCCAGTTTGTATCTCTGGTCAGTGGAGGTAACATCTTAGTTTGTGGCTCTCTTGAACATAAACTATTTTTACATTTTTACAATACAATTATTGGTCATTCTGAATATATTTTACATATTGACAATATATAGTGCAGTGTTGATTTAAAGAAACTAATCTTGAATTACACCTAGTGAACTTAAAATTTTATGGGTGAAATGACAGCATGAAGCATGGGGTGATTTCTCTTCCACCCCCACTTCCTTCTCTTCTCCCTTCTCCACCCCCACTTCTAATTCCCATGATCATCATCACCAACCAGGAGCCTTCTTCATACACACCTCAAAGTAAGTGTACTTTACTGCATTTATTTTTACTTTGTATGTAATTTTCGGTGAGCTGGAACCAATTACCCAAAATCCCATTGAAACAATGGTTTCGGTTAACGAACGACCTTCTGGAACGAATTGTGTTCGTTAACCGAGGAACCACTATATTAGAGAAATGCAAGGAGTATGTACAAGGCGAGACTACATAAAGGAAAAATTTTGTGGACACCTATAAATGCAACCTATTTTGCCCACATTTTCTGAGCTGCAAAGCTTCAACTGAGAAAATTAATAATTTTTTTTTCTTTTTTTAAACTAATTGGTCAACTCTCTTACTTTTATAATAGTGTTGTAATATGCATAATATTTTTGTATTTATCTCTTGAAGCAAAATAATTAATACCCTTTTAATTTTTCTGCTGCCTATTACTATCCATTACAGCCGTTTGTCTTGCCTACTTGCCTGTCTTATTTAAAGACTTTAAATACCTAAGCATATGGGTTCTACTGATCTAACTCAGGTGGCACAAACCCCCAGGATTGACTACAGTACATACATGTCGAGAATTCAGGCCCTGTAATATTAGCAACACAATTTGTAACTCACCTTCTTCAGCATTTTGTAGCCATTCTACAAACTTCTTTATCTGATCTAAGAATATAGATTTTCCTTTGGTTGCATGGCCATCCTTATACCACTTCAGAATCACCTCTTCTGACATTACTTCCGCTGAAAGAAAATATAAATTTTTTGTTGGTTCACAATTTTTATTTTTCAGATAACCAAAATATACATCTAATAAACCTATATACCCTTAACTGGGTACAGTTAAAGCACTGGTTTTTCACCCAGCCATCCACTGGTATGCATGGACATGGGAAGTTTGTGCCAGACCATCTTCACTGGGCATACCACCAGCAGGCAATTAAAAATAATGAGAATCCAATGTATGCTCCCTATCAAAAACAAATAAACATACCGTTTATGTCAGCGTATACAACGGAATTTGAACCTTAAAAAATCTGCCCAAAATTAGGAATAAAATCCGAACCTCTACGTTCTGTGGTTTAGTGTGTATTAAAATAATAAAAATATATTACAAACCTGTCTAACATACAGTAAATACCATAAAATAACAACATACTAAATGCAGGTATCATCACGCACCGCATGCCATTTGCAACTGCCGCCGAAGTAAACGAACAGCCGTCTTTAAATACCGGTAAGGTATTTAAAGACAGTTTCTTGGATAGGCTCAAGCAGTAGCACTCTCTCCGGGTGAACATTATATTAATATCCAGCTACCATAAAACCCCACCATGGCTCCAGATGCTAAACAAAGGAGATATGAAGCTTGTTTTAAGCTGAAAGTGGTAGCATATGGCAAGTCACGCAACAATTGTGCTGCTGCAAGAAAATGCGGTGTAACCGAGAAGATGGTATGAGAATGGAGATTAAAGGAACACTTGCTAAGGAGTATGCCCAGGAAGAAATGTGCAATGAGAAGAGGCACTGCACTCTGGCCGAACCTAGAGAAGCATGCAGTAGACATGGTCCGTGAGCAGCGTCAAAATGGGTATGTTGTATCAAGAAACAAAATATGTATTTGGGCACTTAAATGGGCTAAAGCAAACCAAGAGCACATCAAAGACTTCAAAGCCACTGCTTTATGGTGTAGGCGTTTATGGAAAGAAATGATTTAGTACCGAGGCAGAAAACAAAAATACTGTAGCACAAAAATTACCAGCAGATCTTGACTGTAAAATTACTAATTTCCATCGCTACGTAATACAACAGCGTAAGACACACGGTTATCCATTAAGCAACATCGGGAAGATGGATGAAACACCTATTAGCTTCGACATGGTTGGTAATCATACTATTGATACAAAGGGCACAAAAACAGTGTTAGTGAAAACAACAGGATATGAATAGAAACGATTTAATGTAGCACTTTCATGCATGGCAGAAGGAACCAAGCTGAACCCAATGATAATTTTCAAGAGGAAAACAATGCCAAAAAATCAAGTTCCTGGCTGGAATTTTTGTTCACGTCAACGAGAAAGGGTGGATGGCCAACCAAAGAATAAAGTTATGGATTGATCATGTATGGTGTAAGCTATCTGGTGGCTTTCGAAAACAGCGAAGTCTCTTAGTATGGGATATGTTCACGAGTCATTTAACAAAGGGAACAAAGACCAGCATGGCGAGGAACAGCAATGACATTGTAGTTATTCCTGGTGGATTAACTTCAGTTGTACAACCACTTGATGTTTGTGAACAATGGAACGAGTGGACGATTAGAGGCAAAAAGTCTTGTACAAAAGGTGGGAATATGTGTGCTCCTGAACTGGATGTACTGTGTGATTTTGTTGTCAAGGCATGGAATGATATTATTGTGGAAGCAGTCATCAAGTCTTTTAAAAGGATGAAATGTTGTGGGAGGATGAGAATGAAGCAGAAGCCACGTCATCTGATTCAGAGTTTGATCCTTATGATGATACAACAATAAATGTATCAGGGTGTACTTGAAGAACTTATGATGGCAGATGTTGAAGGTTTTTAATACAAGATGACTGAAGTAATAATCATTTTATTAAAATGTGCTAATAAAATGTTTAAGTTATTGGGTAACTTGATTAAAAAAAAAAATTATATATGCTGTGTGTATATATATATATATATATATATATATATATATATATATATATATATATATATATATATATATATATATATATATATATATATATATATATATATATATATATATTAATAAAAAAAATTAGTCAATACATATCAAAGTGATAACTGTGGTAACATTCTGATATGTTCTTATTTCCACCATGCTATGTGTACAATTCCAGATGATACTAAATGTTACATAATACTTCCTGAGATAAATGTACTCTCAACTGGCTCAGCCATGTTAATATTAAGATGTTTATCAACTCGGTATCTGTGATCTGGCTAATAAACGGTTTTAATAACAATATCCAATATCCTTTCCCCCAAAATTGTCCAGACTTTCGAGGGTTTACTGTATTTATGAATGAATGGGTATTGGTCATGTAACAACAGATGTGTAGGAACACATTTCTACACCCGTGGAAAGCTATTGTACATGACATACACACAGAACTTTCAATTCTATTCAAGAAATTAATTTTACATTCTAATCCATTCACTCATAGAGAGATGATAAATCTTGGTACAGTTTAAAAGCTCTGAACTTCCAGCAGGGTACAGGCTCCTTGATCTGATTTTGTGTTTGCAGCAAACAAAGGAGCATAGACACGTAGATGCTTCAGTGCTTGGTCAGCTACAAGTTCCTCCTTCTTATTCCATTCCACTGCATCCATCACACTTGACCAGATCTAAAGAAAGTCCCTGAATATTACACACACAAATTATCATTAATATTACCCAAAAGCAGAAATGAGAGAGGTCACTTTAGAGGCGTAAGAAATAAAATGACAAATTAGTGGAGATGGTGCAGACTTCACTAAAATTTTAACATTTAAGCAGGAGCCACAATTGTCGCAGATTTTTATATAAATAGTACATCCTTACACCGAGCCTATATAACAATGATAGAAAGCTGTATAATTAATTTTTCTTCTAGCAGTGAAGCTTTACTTAATTTGCAAGTGGAAACAACTTTTTACTCAGATTGATGAATAAATTTTGAGACTTAACTGATCTTTCCACATTGAGAGGGGACAACAAAAGGTAACCCCATAGCCAACTCCTCGGCAAGTGTGTGCTGAAACCATTTTATGATCATCAATACCTTGATTGTGCAGCCCAACAAGTTCAAAGGCTCTAGGCTGCACCTTTGATCCAAATACTAATATCTAACTGACTATTGTCAGTTAAATGAGGATCAGGAGGTGGAACATACATTCAGGAAGCACCTCGATGAGGGACTAACAATCCAAAAACAGACAAATTATATTTTAGTGCTGAACAGAGGTATCTTCAGGGTTATGTCATCTCAATGACCAGGAGCAAGACACTTAGCCTGTCCCCCCCAAAAAAAAATCAGGATTGGTTTCATGATAATGACTGCCTTCATTGACTGGAAAAACAAACCAAAGTTGCTACCTTCCATGTCAATGCTCCAGCACAAACTGCAGGTAGTGAAGCATGTAAAACCCCAAAATTAACCGAGTGATACCAAATGCAAAAATTTTGCAATTCCACCAATTATCTATTACCCACATACAAACGGCATGGCCCCCTGGACTCGCTTGACAGTAACACAAATTAAAGGCCAAGATGGAATCCTTCAGCACTGGAAAGAGCACTACTATTCCCTGCTCAACCAAAACCATGATGTGGAGTTTGACTACTAATAGGTTCCTTAGTACCCAAATAGGGTACACTACACCTCAACGTCTCTCTCTCCCCTACTACTACTACTACTACTACTACGATCATCCAATTATGATACAAGTTATTAAGGCTGTCATCTTTGACGGTGAGCCGAGGTGACTAGAGAGGCTGATACAGGTCCGGCAGGGTCGTCCACAGAGGAGTTGCCTCACAATGGCGATGAATTTTGGCGGGCAGCCAAAATGGCTGAGGGTCCACCAGAGGGTTTCCCTGTTGACTGAGGTGAAGGCCATGTACAGGTCACGATGCTGTTCTCTGCACTTTACCTCTATCTGGCACGCAGCAAAGATCATGTCGGTGATGCCAAGTGATGGTCTAAAGCCACATTGAGATTCTGGGAGGAAGTTTTCCACCTCAAGAAGAAGTCCGTTTAGGAAGACTCGAGCGATAATCTTGCCAGCTACAGACAGCAGCGAGATTCCGAGGTAATTTTCCAGTCTGACCAGTCTCCCTTGTTCTTATAAATATTGACGACAGAGGCGTCTTTAAGAGCTTGGGAGATTTCCTGGTAAACAAAGGTCCTCTTGCTTCATACACTTCATATGAGATTCCATCAGGCCCAGAGGCTTTGTTATTCTTCATCTGTTTGATGGCAGTAGCTACCTCATCCAGGGATGGAGGATAGCTGAGGTGGGCCAGCTCTGGATGCTGAGGGACCTGCTGGGTAGTCAGGACATTCACACGGTGTTTCGGTTGAGCAGCGAATGGTAGTGCCCTTTCCAGCGCTGAAGGATGCCCTCTTCGTCTTTAATTAGGGAGTTACCATTGGATGAGTGGAGGGGGATATGCCATGATTGATTTGCCATTAAAATGTTTTAGTGGAATTCAAAAATTTGTGCTTGTGTTGATCTGTAAGTTTTTGCATTTCACATGCTTTATTTTTAACCCAGTCGTTCTTTAGATTGTGAAGTTCACGCTGGGCTGCTGCTTTCTTCTTGCAGAAGGTATAAGCTTTGGTCCGAGACTGAGGGTTGTTCTGACAGTCAGTTAAAACAGCACATTTATCGTCAATGAGATCATTGATTTCCAGGTCATTTTCATCAAACCAGTCCTGGTGTATTCTTTCAATCTGACAAAGGGTTTCTCTGCACGTTTTAGTCATGACTGTGTTGAGAATACCTCATTTGGCATTGGGATTAGGGTTGTTTGTTGTTTGATTGTTTATCAAGTCCATGTTCGAGCTGCTCTCTGAAAGCTTGTGCTACCGCTGGATCCTCCAGACACTTCGTGTTAAAATCTCTTCTGGATGCTTGCTGCCTTTGCCGTTTTGGGGTAATGTGAAGTAAGAGTTTGACTGACGAGCTGATGATCCGTGTCGCAATGGTCAGAACCATGCACGGCTCGGTTGACAAAAACATCTCAGCGATTCTTTCTCTCTGAAAATGATGCAGTCAATAAAATGCCATTGTATGGATCATGGGTGTTGCTATGAACACTTGAACTTGTCAGCCTGCCTAAACAAGGTATTGGTGATAGTGAAGTTGTCTGCACCACACTTGCTCAGGAGCAGGCAGTTGGGATTATACTTGCCTCGTCCATTTCTCTCAGGATAGAAGTTAGCACTGTCAAGGTTGGCATAAATGGCCTCATTGATGTCATCCTCTGCATCCAGTGTTATACCTAGCCAGCTCTTTTGCCACAAGGAAGGTTCTAATTTCACGACACTCATTTGTGCCAGTATCTGACATTTCATGCAGCAGCCATAAGAGGTTGTATAGTTTGTTTTTGTTTTGATCTGTGATGATTGCATTTTCTACCACAGTTGCTCAGTCAGGTTGTTTCTTTAGGCAGGCTATGTTTAGGGAACCTCCCCATGTGGGGGTAAGCAGAGTGGCTCCACAAAAGAGCTGTTCAGTCACACAGGCAGGACTGGATTGCACTGCTGCCTAGATCCCAGTGCATAAATGACCATCTTATCTATGCCACCCATGTGCAGAGTTGTGACTAGAGACTCCCAGCAGTCATCTCTGCCTGTCCCTGTCACCATAGGACTTTTGATAATGCTGAGAAATACAAGCTGGAATGTGGCTGTGCGTGAGTTGGTTTATGTGGTGAGGCAGGAGTGGAGGTTGCAACCACACATCTTGGCTCTCCCTTTTCCTGACCCAGTGGTTGAAGTGTACAACTGGGGTGAGGGAGAGTTGCAACAGACTGCCGATAGCCCACTTTGTTGGGTTTCGCCTTCGTCCGCCAGTGTAGTTGTTGGGTTTCCATGTTGGTTACCTCTTCCACCTGTACTGTCATTGGGGTCTTGTTGGAACTCCGTAAGCATGTCTGCCTGATGCGAAGCTCCACATGATTTTTCTTTAGGGGTTTACTCGGATAGCCTTAAACCTACCAAGGTTAATCCGCAAAGCAGCAGGGCAGTGGTGGACTCCACATAGCAGTGGACCTCTGGGGCCCACTGCTGCTCTGAGATAGCCTGGGCCATAGGCACCCAGTTACCATGTGTTGCTACAAGGAGGCGCAGCAGGAGTCATGATGGTGAACAGGCTGTGTATTGGCAGGGGAGGACTTATGCAATTTGCTTCCCTATTCACCACAAGCAGTAGCTGAAAGTGAGAGGAAGCAAGCAGTGTTGTCACACTAGAGACATTACACCACCCTGTGTGCCAGACATGGGGCTGATTACACCATTTTATTATGATAAGGATTTTGATTAATAATCACAATAAATGCTGATTATGATTATATCCTGAATTTATAATCATAAAAAAATGATTATATATCCTGATATAATCATAAAAAATAATTATTAGTTCACTTGAATAATAAATCTTGATGATTATGATTACCATATATGATTATGTTTACAGGGCTAGCTAAAATCTTTATTATATGATTAGCATACTGGCACCTTATGATAGTGAGCTTCTTGTTCTCAAGGTTGAAGCTTTTTATAATCTCATTGTAAGTATTCTCTGCAGTGTGAGCCTCTGAACCTTCTGCAGGCTAATATTGCTGCCCACAATCAGCTTGTATAAGAATGGAGTGGTTGGAGTGGAATGAAACTCCCAGCCACCTGCCATTATGTGTACCAAACGCATACAAGTCTGGTACATCTAACTGTAGCTGCTCTTGTACTCAATACCAGCTTGCATTTAGGTTTGTTGAAGTAAGAAAAACAAATTTCATGGAATAATCACACTATAATCATTGATTATATGATAATCTAATTTGGTGATTATACTGTAATTATTTTTTAATATTTGATCATGATTCTTAATCATCCCAAACATATTACATAATCATCTTAGGAGATTATAACTATTTGATTATGATTAATCAGCCCCATGTCTGCTACACACACCCGTATCCTCGCTAATCGCAGAGGTTAGGTTCCACAAAACTACGTGATAAGCATCCCCAAACTGCCGAAAATATACCCCCAAAAATGTGTAGGTACACTAAAAGATATAATACTAGTAACATACCTTTACTAATTAATGAATAACAAATAAACAATGTACAGTACTGTACAATAATGCATCACGATACTCATTGTAGAATGAACGAAGAAGGGCAAGTGTTGGCGAGATCCAGTGGATGGGAGGGAGGAGGTGGGAAGTGGGTAGGCAGTGGATGGGAGGGAGGAGGAAGGTGGGAAGTGGGTGAGATGCAGTGGAAGGGAGGGAGGAGGAAGGTGGGAAGTGGGTGAGGCAGGGATGGGAGGGAGGAGGAAGGTGGGAAGTGGGTGAGATGCAGTGGATGGGAGGGAGGAGGAAGGGTGGGAGTGGGTAGGCGCGGTGGATGGAGGGGAGGAGGAAGGTGGGAAGTGGGTGAGATGCAGTGGATGGGAGGGGGAGGAGGAGAGGTGGGAAGTGGGTGAGGCGGTGGATGGGAGGGGAGGAGGAAGGTGGGAAGTGGGTGAGATGCAGTGGATGGGAGGGAGGAGGAAGGTGGGAAGTGGGTAAGGCGCAGTGGATAGGAGGGGAGGAGGAAGGTGGGAAGTGGGTGAGATGCAGTGGATGGGAGGGAGGGAGGAAGGTGGGAAGTGGGTGAGATGCAGTGGATGGGAGGGAGGAGGAAGGTGGGAAGTGGGTAAGGCGCAGTGGATAGGAGGAGGAGGAAGGTGGGAAGTGGGTGAGATGCAGTGGATGGGAGGAGGAGGAAGGTGGGAAGTGGGTGAGACGGTGGATGGGAGGGAGGAGGAAGGTGGGAAGTGGGTGAGATGCAGTGGATGGGAGGAGGAGGAAGGTGGGAAGTGGGTAGACGCAGTGGATAGGAGGGAGGAGGAAGGTGGGGAGTGGGTGAGATGCAGTGGATGGGAGGGAGGAGGAAGGTGGGAAGTGGGTGAGCGCGGTGGATGGGAGGGAGGAGGAAGGTGGGAAGTGGGTGAGATGCAGTGGATGGGAGGGAGGAGGAAGGTGGGAAGTGGGTGAGATGCAGTGGATGGGAGGGAGGGAGGAAGGTGGGAAGTGGGTAAGGCGCGAGGTGGATGGGAGGGAGGAGGAAGGTGGGAAGTGGGTGAGATGCAGTGGATGGGAGGGAGGAGGAAGGTGGGAAGTGGGTGAGATGCAGTGGATGGGAGGGAGGGAGGAAGATGGGAAGTGGGTGAGGCGCAGTGGATGGGAGGAGGAGGAGAGGTGGGAAGTGGGTAAGGCACGCAGTGGATAGGAGGGAGGAGGAGAGGTGGGAAGTGGGTGAGATGCAGTGGATGGGAGGGAGGAGGAAGAGGTGGGAAGTGGGTGAGGGCAGGTGGATGGGAGGGAGGAGGAGGAAGGTGGGAAGTGGGTGAGATGCAGTGGATGGGAGGGAGGAAGGTGGGAAGTGGGTGAGGCAGTGGATGGGAGGGAAGGTGGGAGTGGGTGAGGCGGTGGATGGGAGGGAGGAGGAAGGTGGGAAGTGGGTGAGATGCAGTGGATGGGAGGGAGGAGGAAGGTGGGAAGTGGGTGAGATGCAGTGGATGGGAGGGAGGAAGGTGGGAAGTGGGTGAGATGCAGTGGATGGGAGGGAGGAGGAAGGTGGGAAGTGGGTGAGATGCAGTGGATGGGAGGGAGGAGGAAGGTGGGAGGTGGGTAAGGACGCAGTGGATAGGAGGGAGGAGGAAGGTGGGAAGTGGGTGAGATGCAGTGGATGGGAGGGAGGAGGAAGGTGGGAAGTGGGTGGAGACGTGGATGGGAGGGAGGAGGAAGGTGGGAAGTGGGTGAGGCCGCAGTGGATGGGAGGGAGGAGGAAGGTGGGAAGTGGGTGGGAGGCAGTGGATATCATGCTAATCTGCTCTGGCCATCACTGAAATTATGATTTAGGTGGTGATAATAGAGGTAGTGGTGGTATTCATGGAGCTGGTGATGGAGGGGGAGATTGTGTAGGTGGCGAGATGATGATGTGTCAATCTGTTTCTTTGGTAACACGGGCTGTAGCACTGCCAGACAACTGAACAGCTGATGTCTACCACAAAATTGAGTGTAAGTATAAATGAATGTCATATTCCTTCCACATTACATTACATTAATTTTAAATTATAAAGTGTGAAAGCAGAAAGGTCGGGGAGGGTGTGTTGCCAAGCGCATGCTTATCCTTGTTGGGAACATCCGAACATTCAAACAGAGAATACACACGTCTTCGTAACTTGACTGGATGAGGAACCTTAACACTTCTTTTTCACAGGTGCATTCATGATACAATATTGTAAGGTACTGTACATTGTTTATTTGTTATTCATTAATTAGTAAAGGTATGTTACTAGTATTATATCTTTTGGTGTACCTACACATTTTTGGGGGTATATTTTCGGCAGTTTGGGGATGCATCTTTGGGGTCCTGGGATAAAACTAAATTTTCCCAAATGTTGTGTTTTAATATGTAAGGTCTTGCTTATCACGGTAGTTTTCTGGAACCTTTCCCTCGCGGTTGTGAGGATACATGTATATAAAGTGTATATAGTACATATATATGTGTGCAGTGATATCTCCGTCAGCTTCATAACTTTTAACTATGCCTTTCTGCCAGTTAATACATAATATAAAATGCACATTTCACAATATAAAATTTACTTACAGCAGAAACTATCTGAGGTTCCTGGATGTTGTTCTTTTTTGCAATCTCTTGTACCCCTACTATGATGTCCCTGACTGCAGCACCCTCATTAACCTGTTGCCCCAGGTATGTCTGTAGCTCCTTTAGGCTGGTGTCTCTTTCCTGTTGAATACATAATAAATATATGAAATTGTTTTCCTAAGCTCGTGCCACTGGCATGTAAGGTGTTAACACTTGAGTGACGTTCTGTCCGCCTACAGTATTCTTGCCACTTTTTTCTTTTATAATAATTATTGTTGTAAAAGTTGATTTTTTATATTTATCTCATCGGGGGGTTTACTGCCAGCAGCACCCAAACCCGGGGCTTAAGGGTTAATCAGAAAACCTAAATGCTTACTTTTATTGTCTTGAATAAAAGGTTCAGTCAGACTGAAACACCAGCTTTTACATATAGTATTTCAAGAAGTGTAACTATTAAGTAACATTTCACATTCCATCAGTCCCAAATATGAGAGTTTAAACACTATTTCAACACACACACACAACTAGTTTTCTCATACAAAGGCGAACTACTGCTATGGAATTTGAATTTGCTTGAGTATCCAGAGGAAGAGTGAGCATAATTGATGCAAATCATAGGCTGAGAGACACAAGTTCCCTTTACACGAAAAACTTCTAACAGTAGTTGTCTTATACCAAACGAAGAAATTAACATACTCAACAGACTGATACACTGACATTAGATGCAACGAAAGGCTGAAAATCAAACTGGAAGATGGAATTCGGGGAAATGTCCTAGCGTGGATAGAAGACTTTCTACATGACCGCAAGCAATGTGGTGATTAATGCACAATCGTCATCTGTACCTGTAACAAGTGGGTCCAGGGTAGTGTGGGCCGCTGTTGTTTGTTTGTTTATAAATGATATGCCTGACGTTGTACACTCTCCATACAAATGTTTGCGATGACGCCAAGTTATTTTGGAAATTAGAACCAAGGGATGTGAAGAGCTGCAGAAGGACCTCTGTGGGCTCCAGGAATGGTCAAGGAATGGCTGCTGAGATTCAATGTCACGAGGTAGAGGATGCACCTGGGGCGTACTAACGGTAAGGAGGCTACATGTTCCAAGGGATGAAGAAAATATCTATTGAGACTGTGTGAGGACCTAGGTGTGTATGTTGACAATGAGCAAGTTCTCGGCCATTGTGAGAAGAAGGTAAATCAGGCAAATAAATTATTGGGTCTTATAAGAGGTCGTTCAGATATCTAGACGGTCCGTCTCGTGCGATCTTCAGGGTGAAGTGCTTCCCATCTGGAGTACTGTCACCCATCTGGTCCCAGATATGCTAGGGACTGTCAGTTGGTTGAAAATGTTCAAGGAGGGCCTGGCTGGTGCCTGCCTGCATCTCAGCTACCCCTGAGATTGGGCGCTGAACTTGGCTTATACTACAGACGGGCAGGGGGACCTAGTTGAGGTTTATAAGCATCTCAGGGGCACTACTGTTGGGTGTCCTTACTTGAGCTGGCGGGCCGCCCGGGTCACAGCTCAAGATTGAAACCAATCCGGAAGTGAGGGCTTTTGGGTGAGGGTTGTAAACTCTGGAACAATCTACCAGAAAGTAAAGTTGTGGACGGCACCAGTGAGCTCTTTTTCAAGAGAAGACTTGACCAACACTGGAGCGGGTTCAGGTACATTCAGGAGCCGGTGCATGCCCAGTATTTGCCAACAGTGCGTGACAGAGACGTGACCGATCGCCCGGGCGGCTAGCGAGCCGACCTTTTGGTGAAGAATATAAAGGAAAAGAGTCGTGACCGATCGCCCAAGCGGCTAACAAGCCGATCAGTGGCGAAGAGGATAAAAGTAAAAATAAAATTGCAAGAAGTGCACCAATACTACAGGTATCACTGAAAATCAAATACCAATAAAAACAGAAATAATTATAAGAAGGTCCTGTTTTACATGCATTGTGTGTTCTAGAAAAAGTGCTTTTTAAGTCAACCCACTAAATAGGGCCAATTTTGGCCTGACATTGTTGCCCTAAAATTTTCAACTCTAAACCCTGAAACATGAATGCCAATGCGATACCTCCAGAATTTGGAAGAATGTGGCTGATAAAGAAAATTATGAATTATGATCAGATACCTCCAGAATTTGGAAGAATGTGGCTGATAAAGAAAATTATGAATTATGATCAACTGTACATCTTCCTGCCAACAAACTTAAAATGCATAATTTACTGCAGTTGTACTTTTATCAACTGGTTTCATACTAGTAGACAATACAGTTATGTTCAGCAACAGGGATTTTTTCTTCAAATACAGCAAACCTTCTCAAAACTGGATATTCCCAATAATATCCATCTTTATGTTCGGATATTTGGAAACATTGTCTGTTATTTAATACCAAGTGCAGCGGCTGACAATATTTACACCATGGTGTCAAACTACACAGTTTACAGAAGTGTTAAGCAATAACATTTCCTTTAATCATAAATAATATACAGTAAAATCCTGGAGTCCCAGACTATTTAAGCCACAGTGATGTCGTTAATCAGACGTCCATAAAAGCAGAGGCACAACTGTTCAAAAAAGCCAGTATATTACACTAACACAGATTGGCTTATTTAGGCTCATAATAAATTAGTTTAAGTAAAATAATTAAACTTATAATACACTTTCAGTAAATTCAGTTTTCTATTTAAAGGGTCAATAGATGTAGCTAAGGTTCTAGAAGCTTTCAGAACGACCATGATTTTTAAGGTTCCCGAGTTCCAACGTACATATGTATGTGTCATGGATGGCCTTGAGTAATGCGAGATGAAGTGGAAGTGTACAGTATATCTCTGGCAATGATGTGGATATGTTCACAAAAATCCACTCTTTCTCGTGAACTTCATTGTCATAGGTAGAGTTAACAATAAGGAAAACGGACGAGTTTCCATTCCGACTTCAAAGAACATGTGTATACTATCTAGATGCAAAAAATCCAGCCAAAACCATGAAGGAAAAGCTCAATGAAAGCTTAACACAACCGTCATGATTAGACGCTGGCTACTTGGCCAGCTCAACACCCACCAGTTGCCATAGCAACAGCTCGCCCCCAAACTCCGCTCCCCCAGCTCAGTCTCCTAACTCATGTGCAAAGAAATGTTTATTCCCTTTGTGTATTTGCCCTTATGATATCTATTTCTTTGACCTTTTTTCACTATATGTATGCAGGATTGTGTGCACATGTAGCGGAGTATTAAAAATGAATTAAGTTACATACAGTGAACCCTCGAAAATCGGGACTAAAACGGGGGAGTACCTGTCCGGAAAAGCAGATTGACCTGGTTTTCCAGTGAATATTAATGATAAGAAAACACCAAAAATACAGTACTAATGTAGTGGTAAACAAATTACAGTATATAAACCATGCATTTACCTATCATAACATAATAAGAAACATTGTATAATTACGAGTGAATGAAATAATATTCCCGCAAACAACAATTGTCAACTCTGTTTATGTTTCCCACCTCCTCAGGGACCTGTGTCCAAGCAACTGACGGGTCAAGCAGCACCCTCGCGTCTAAAATGTTCTTTGCCGAGGCTGGTTTCAACGATTTAAGTATCGGTATAACTTCCACAACATAAAGATGACCGGTGAAGCTATCAGTTCAGATACAGTTGCTGCCAAGCCATTTCCACCAACAACGGAGGAGGAGCAAACATCAACGGAGGAATCCCAGTCAGCAGGAGAAGGAGGCAGCCGCAGTCTCAGTGGCTCCCCACCCTCCTCCTCCTTCGCTCCACTACCCACCACACACTCGCTCTACCACTACTACCTATAGGTGAGTACCAATACAAACTTAGTACTGTAGATCTATATACTATTTTCTATAGAAATGACAATGATATTCTGTGTATGTAAATTTTTTCCTGGGGCAATGGGAGGCTCAGGAAAGTAACTCACGTATTTTATCTATTTCTTACGGGGAAAATTGATCCGCTTAATGTTAATATTATTACTACAACTTCGGCTGTCACGCTGCCACGTGTGTATAGCAGCCTCGTTGTATCCCGCTCAATTTGTGTATTAAAAAGGTAAAAGTTTTACAATTATTACCTGCACTATGTATTATTTTTGTCGGTTCAACTTAAGACTCAATCGACTTACAACCTGGTTGTCGGAACGGAACCCTGTCGTAAGTGGAGGAGAGACTGTATACTGTAGTTTGATCCGTTACTTTTTGTATAAAATTTTCTCATAAAAACTCACTGTATTCGGTATACTGTACACTTTCACGTCATCCACTTTTTCTCGCACTGCACAAGGCGATTCATGCCACACATATTTACGTTAGGATCTTAAAAAATCTTCTCTGTAGTTCTGAAAGCTTCTAGAATCTTAAACTTTACCTACATCTATTAACACTTTAACCCTTAAGCCCCAGGTTAGGGTGCTGCTGGCAGTACCCCCCACACGGGGTTAAATTGAGAAAAAAAATCAACATTTCCAAAAATAAATAAGAAATAAATAAATAAAAAATAAATAAGAAAAAAATGGCGGGAAAATAGGCAGACGTTCTAGAACGTTACCCGGGGCCTAAGGGTTAAATAAAAACATGAATTTACTGAAAGCAATTCAAAGTATGATAAATTTACGCAAACTAATTTATTATGAGCCTAAATAAGCCAATCTGTGTTAGTGTAATAAGCCGACTGTTTTGAACAGTTGTGCCTCTATGTCGTTATGGACGTCTGAATAACGGATTCTGTCTGATTAACGACATCACTGTGGCTTAAATAGTCTGGTACTTGGGATTTTGACTGTATTGTTAAAATAATACACATTCATCAAAGGTAATAAAGAAAAACAACATTTAGGTTAAGAAAATACAAAAATTATTGGTGGCAGGCAGTAAAATAAAAAAATAAAAAATAAAAAAAAATTACAGCAAACCAGCAGATGCACCCAAGAGTAATTTTTTTCCCATGAAACTCGCCTTACAAGGTAAGCATTTTGATGGTTGGAAATTGGGTAAAGGAAACCTTCCCACTAATGGAGAGAGTATGCACAAATTAGTCCAGCATTGGAAAGGTTTGCTGTTCTTTGTTGTCTAACACTCACTCATTCTATTCTTCCTATTATGTCCCATTAGCATCATCACACAAAGATACACACTTTACTTATGCTTGTCAGAGAAAAAAATGTTGGCAGGGATTCCTTTCAATCTTTGACACTGCATCATGCAACGCGTTACCTTAGGGTGTGGTTGTTGTGTTGGCGACAGCTTCTATACCTTTAAACAAATTCAAGCCTAGGTGGCCCTTGGGCCGGCCATCCTCGTTACACAAGAGGCAACCATTAATAGCTTGGTATTTCCATCATCAAGTTTTAAGACCATCATTTATGAATTTCTAGAAATAATAAAGTTCTCTCTGACATTTTCAGGAAAACCGAGGCTGTGTTGGTGTTAATGACATACATTATAATACACAGGATGTCAGAGGCCATTATCAAACTAAACTATCCCCTCCTAACACCTCGGATGGGAATTTTTAATACAAAATCCACACACACAACAGCTGCATTAGTGGGTACAAAATTTGGAGTTCATTAATGTACCAGCCACATTTATTCAATTGCTGGGGATGCCATGTTGCACAAACGCAATTGTATCAGAGAAGATTGATCCTCCCACTTCAAATGTGAAGTAAACCTATGCTATCACTCTCTAGAAGTTTTAATATTTACAGTTTCTAAAATATTCACATATATAGTTATTAAGTTCAATTAATATCACTCACCAAGCTCCTGTAGATACCAAGTATCTCTTCCAAGCCCTTCTGCTGGAACAGGTTCTTGAAGTTCTCATCAGTTCGTTTGTTGGCCTGTAGGAACTCCATCAACCTTGAATCCAAGCCAGCTTTGCGAAGCAGGGATCGCACTGTGTTAATGTCCTTCAGGTTCTTTGCGGTCAAGAGGACCTAAAAATTAAATAAACAAGATCAAAAAATTTTAGGTTTGTTTTTCATCCATAAATATAAATATCTGGTCACCTCTGAGCTGTTGTTACTTCCTGAAGATATAAAACTATTATTGTACTGCATGTATTTCACTTTTGTTTATTATTGGTTTAAAATGAATGAATGAATGGATGAGTGAGTAGCTCAAGTTTGTGACCAACTCCTCGAGTTGCTAGGGTCAGGAGTCTTATCTTCAAACCTATTTTTAGTAATATGTAGTCACAGCGTGAAGGATGCTGTTCCCAAACCTTGTTGGTATGTCCAGGTGTTCCCAAGCAGTCCCTCAAAGTTCCCAAGCCTAGGCTCTTGAGTGTTTAAGACAAATTCACACTTCCTAAGCTCACCTGTGCTTCCCCTACCTGGTCTTTTACCATAAAGCTACATAATGAGGACTCCTAGAAAGAGAGAAGATCATGCAAGACTAATTTCTCCCTCTTCTACACCACATACCAAGAGGCGCTCAAGTTCACCAACTCTTTCAACGCTCTGATCATCACCATGACTTCAATTGTCAGATTGGGACAAAGCTACTACACCACCCACATTCTTGGACTACCAACACTACCAACCATCACTAAGATATAACTCATCAACCAACTTTATCAGGAAATGTGACTACTGCCCTGTAATAAAGCAAATGACCAAAACTAAATAAAATTAATCCTTCAGGCCAGCCTAATGAGTGTAAGGACTCACTGGTCAGATGATTTTAGATGATTGTATCCAGCATACAAGGACCCCCATATAGAAAGGGTCAACAGTAGTAGAATAACAAGTACTATACAAATTACATCAAAAGCTTTTCTTGGGGTAGCTCTGACTTTGCAAACTTATGAAATTTGGTATGGTTGAAATCTCCATCTAACTTGTACTAACCTCACAAAGAAAATCAGCAGCAAGGCCATCCTTCACAAGATGATCCTGTAACAGAGTTGCTAGCACCTTAGGATCAAGCAGGGAGTCACTAGTCCATATAGCAACACAACGAGCCAAGCGGATGCGGTCACCTTCTCTGAACCCCTTCAGATACACCAGGACCTGCATAAATAAATTTATTTCCATGAAAGACATTGAAGCAATAACTATATATAACTATATCAAAATGAAAGTTCTATGACCAGAGCTCTCCAATAACTCATCAAAAGCATTAATGAATGATCAAAAAATCATATATACTGGATACCTTTTTCATTTCTTCATAGAACATTTTCTCCAAGTATTTGTAACGCCTCATCAACCTGGTGAAAACCTGAGCATAACCCCGAAGCGTCTCATAAGAATCATCTGGAGCCCCAAAGACACACATATCCGTGCGTACTGGACCACTGTCAATGCCATCATCGGAGGTTCCTCCGCCTGGAGCTGCAAGATGTAAATATTTAATGGCTATCCAGATGGCCAGACCTATAGATTTAATATTCACATCCACACCACCACACAAATACGTCCAACTGCAAAGCACTCTCTATGAAACTACTTCTAGTATTTACTATTAACATACAATAGGACACATAAGAATACAAACAGATTCAAATTAGTGGGGGAAAAAAGGGGCAAATATTTGGCCATACCATACTTTTAAATAACAATACCCCTGTACCTGAAGTCAGAGGATAATAAAATACCTTTGAAATTTACCCAATGTAGAATGTAAAAGAATATTATATTCTGCAGTTACGTAAAGAATAATGTAGCTTCTGATGCCAGAATAATGTCTGCTTTAAAAGATTTTCTGACATTTTATATAGTTTCAGCTAATTTGTATAGAATAAAATGAGGCATCCATAGATCTTTTCAAATTTTTCTTCATATTTATTACCCCATAGTATATGTAAACTGATTTTGCCTTGCCAAAAAACTTGTAAAACAAGAAATCTTTTTTTCATTTTGTTGTAGAATTAACACTCCATGTGAATGCAGCTTGGAAATGAAGTGGAAATGAAGTAAGTGTTCACCATATTCCTAAAAAATTTAAAAACATTAAAATCCTTTTTTGATATTTTTTCTGCACCTCTCCCATAACACCATTCAGTTGTCAAAAATCCAGATTTCAATCAAGCTACTAATCCATCCTGTGCATACTTATAGTGATATCCCCATTGGCTGGAACAAATGGTGTACAGTACAGCACTTACGGAGCCGAGAGATTTCCGGGTAACCAGACGACTTTCTGAAACCCGGAATAAATCCTTATTCCCGGAATTATTTCTGGTTATTGGAAAAAGTTTCCAAGCGTCTAAACTTCGCATCTTGCACATAAAGACACTAGACCACATCTCCAGAATGTTTCTGGGTGCTGGGTATGTTTTTTGAGTCTAAACTACCGGAGTCTGTCAAAGCAGTTATAATTAAGTTATAAACTCAATTTCTTTACTTGAATAATCCAGAATAGTTTATCTAAAAGTTTGGTTAAATAATTACATTTAAAAACTAAAAATCTATGATAGCAGCATGAATGAAAATGTGTTACAGCAAAGACTGATATTTTCCACTCCCATGGAGCTATGGGGGATTAGTGGATCTCATGTAATTGACCTGACCTGATGCAATGTCAGGAGGAGGTAGGGTGGGGGATTAGTGGTCTAATATTACTGACCTGATACAATGTCATGTTACCCATTGTTGGGTGGGGGATTAGTGGGTCTCATGTCCTGATGATGTCTTGAATAATGACAGAAGCTTAAGTATTTTGGGGAAATTGGGAAGTGTATGTATAAATGAGCAACGTCGTAACCCTTCAACATTACCTTACATAATATTTTGAAATGTGGAGTGAAAAAGCAGAAAATTGTGGGTGATTAGAGAAATGGAGTGGAAAGGAGTGGTAATATGCACCAGCATTACCAGACGCTCCTCAACAGCCTATCTTTAACTCGCCACCATGCAGTCGCACACTTGCAAATTTGTCATACAATAATATCCTCACTCTGGATACTTGCTGTTTTAATTCCTGTGTTCGTGTGTGTGTGTGTGTGATGTTGGGCTGTGCGGATGATGTTTGAGTGTGTGAATGGGTGGTTGCTGTTGGAGGGTGTGTGTGTGTGTGGGTGGTCGCTGTTGGAGGGTGTGTGTGTGTGGGTGGTCGCTGTTGGAGGGTGTGTGTGTGTGGGTGGTCGCTGTTGGAGTGTGTGTGAAGGGGTGGATGTTGTTGGAGGGTGTGTGTGTGTGTGTGGTGGTTGGAGTGTGTTTGTGTGGGCGGTGGTTGAGGTGTTTGTGGGCGGTGGCGGAGGTGGGCGGCGGAGGTGGGCGGTGGCGGAGGGTGGGGCGGTGGTGAGGGTGTGGGGCGTGGCGGAGGGTGTGGGCGGTGGCGGAGGGTGGTGGTGGAGGTGTGGTGGCGGAGGTGGGCGGCGGAGGTGGGTGGTGCTGGAGGGTGCGGTCTGGGCGTGCGGGTGGTGCTGGAGGGTGCGTGGTTCATGCAAGGGTGGTGCTGGAGGGCATGTCTGGGCGGCGGGTGGTGCTGAGGGTGCGGGTGGTGCCGGAGGGTGCGGTGTTGGAGGGTGATGCTGGGGTGATGTTGGGCCACTGGGCGGTGGTTGGAGTGTGTGTGTGTGTGGGGCGGGGAGCTGGAGTGAGGAGTGAGTGAGGTGTGTATGCTGCAGTGTGCATGGGGCGTAAAGGTATGCTGTGGTTGGAGTGTTTGTGTGGGCGGTGGTTGGAGGTTTGGGCGGTGGTTGGAGGTGTTTGTGGGTGGTGCCGGAGGGGTGCGGTGGTGCGGAGGGTGGTGGTGCTGGAGGGTGCGGTGGTGCGGAGGGTGCGGTGGGCGGAGGGTGGTGGTGCTGGAGGGTGCGGTGGTGCCGGAGGGTGCGGTGGTGCCGGAGGGTGCGGGTGGTGCCGGAGGGTGCGGGTGGTGCTGGAGGGTGCGGGTGGGCATGTGGGTGATGTTGGGGCCACTGGGCGGTGAACCTTTTGGGCGGCGAGATGGTAGGTTTGCTCGGTCAGTTTTCTCTAGGGTGACTTTCCACCTACTGTACCTCACTCAAGCATCTGCTAATTGTGATAGGGAGATGAATTTGATAGCATACTAATGATCCTTAATAAATTCTCTACAAGACGTTTCCAAGAAGATACTCTTAAACAAAATATTTTGATATATAATGATGGGAATTCCATTCTTTTATATAAAAAAGTGTTAGAAATGTTGATACCAGAGTCAATAAAAAGTTCTAATTAAGTTGGACACACCATTTTTTATCAAAATAATCCTGAAAACTTTAACTAAAAGTTTGGTTATATAAATATACTATAAAAACAAAAGATCTACATGATGTGGGAGTTAGTGGAGCTGTGAGTTACAGCCAAGACAGTGTGGTATGTTCCACGAGTCTAAATGACATCTCGCAGGATCTGTATTCATTTATGCGAACACCACTGTACTGTACAATATTGTACATACTGTCAACAAAATAATGTATACTACTGTACTACTCTACTGTATATAATGTACTCGCCAGAAGATCCTGTCATCTTTAGCCTACAGTAGGCAGACACATCACTTTACTGACTGTAATACATAACTATCACACCTTAATACTTGTGAAGGAAGTTTGGGGGAGGATTATTGGGTCACTTTACTAGCCTGACCTGATGCAATGTCAGGTCACCCAGTGTTGGGGAGGGGGTTAGTGGGTCTAAGCCCTGAAGATGTTTTGAATAAAGATGAAAGCTAAGGTATTTTTGAGGCACGAGGCTATTAGCAAAAAAAAAGTGTAAAAAATTTATTCACAACATTTCTGATGACGTTATTTTTCCCCAAACCTGGAATCGAGATTTTTTTCAAGAAATATTCCCAGCAAATTTGAAATCCGGTTTTTGGAGTTACAGGTAAGAGGGATTCCAGCTAATGGAGATATTACGAATACTATTTCCTTTCAGCCTTGAAAATTTCAGAAACATTCATACACACTAAAACTATAAGTAAAATCAAATCCCTAAGTTCAGTACAGTCTTTCCTCGACTTACGACGGGGTTCCGTCCCGAAGACGAGGTCGTAAGTCGAAAAGGCAAAAGTAATACTGTACATAGAAATTCTAAAATGGGTTTCTCTTTTTCTTCTCGGCACCACGAGAACTCTCACTTTTACGCTTGCCAGCCATTTTAAAGGGAATTACAAACAAAAATTTTGTCAGTACACAGCGCGATCACTGACGTCGGGACTCGAAAATACGTAATGTGAAAAATATTTTATAGGACCATGGCCATAGTATGTCCGGGTTGTCGTAAGTCGAATATGTCATAAGTCGAGGAAAGACTGTACTCAGTTTTAAAGAATAAAAAATTAATTCTAAAGGGAAGAAGCTTCTAGATGTAAATAATTTATAAACACAATAAAAAAGAAAAGATAAAATACTCACTAAGGATGCCGCCAGCAATTAGTATATCAAAGAGTGTTTCTCCGTATGTGCGATATTTAAGTTTAGACCCTGCTTGGTCAAGGTATTTGTTGACAGCTTCTAGATCTGAGCCAGCTTCAATGAGACCCTGGAATGTGAAACATGAAAATTTATCAGTGACAACATTTTTATTTATCTATTCAACATTTCATTAGCTCCATGATATCATGTTGACTTCTAGTTTGCACAGTAGGGGGAGGGGAGGGGGGCATATTCAGGATTTTTATTTTGCGGTCCTCTATTATTCGCGGATGACACCCTGGATGTACCCAAGAATGTTTGTGGGTAGTTTTAAAGTTGCCAGCATTTTTGCGACTGGGACAGGGAGCCATTTGTTCTAGAGACAGTAATTTACTTTACCTGTATTGTAAATATGTATGTGTGTCTACACACACACACACATACAGTATATATACAATACAATGCAAATATACAATCAGAAACAAATTTATTAAAAATGTGAATCTACCCTCAAGTCCTTAATAAATAAAGCACAGACTTGAGGGTCGACTCACATTTTTAATAAATTTGTTTCCGATTATTAATTGTGAGTATTTTCCCATTATTATTTATTTGTGTGTGTTTTGTTGTGTGTCTACACACACACACATTTATATATATATATATATATATATATATATATATATATATATATATATATATATATATTTTTTTTTTTTTAATTCTTGAATTGATAAGTGGCAGGGCTGAAGTTAACACTTTGTTGGTTTTGCTTTATTGTAGAAAAATATAGTTTCACAGGTACTGAGTTCAGTTGAGAATATATTGTACTTTCTCTGCTAAGGTAAGTGTCTTAGTGCACTTATAGGAGAACACTTAAGTGAGGTGTTCTCTGGGTAACAAGTGATACGAGTCTCTGTCACTGACCCAAGGAGAGAGCGAACAGGCCTCGAGAGGAAACGTGTCAGATATGATGTTGATGGCATGCGCTGAACTCAGCCTGCCCTCGCTTGCTCCCCGAAGGAAGTCACCTCAGCAATTCATAACATCAACAACTGAGTCATGGTTGAATAATTTAATGAATAACTACCAAGTCATTGTTGAATAACTTATAATTTGGTATTACAGTACTGTATACATTTGGGTAAATATTTATATAATACAAATGGTGCTGTTTCACCCAAATCAACTCCAAATAAGCCATTTTTAGGTAAGTGTAACAAGTGTTTTCTTGTTTCCTACGGTACATGGTTACCAGCATATACATGGATTAAGCACACCTACAGTGATTTATTTCCATATATTATATATACGCCGCGAATTGACAAAACCACGAATAACAACTTAACACTAACTTAGTGCACTTCTGTATACCAACAACTGACCAGCCACAGCAGCAGCACTCATCCCCTCTTAACTTACCTAATAATAAAACTTTCTTTGTCAAGGTCAGCACCGACTTATGCCTTTTACATTTCACTCCACTAGCGCTGGCACTATGCAATCTTTTAGGAGCCATTTCACACAAACACTAACGTTTTGAGTACAACACGTGATGCTGCATGGGGTGACTCGTGATGCAGGAAAAGGCTTCAGTATCACAAGCAGCTTCAACATTAGGTTCAGTAACAGCTTTATGGAAAGCTACAGCTTCAGCCAGTTGAACCTGATGACTTCGTCATCTGAGTAAAAACTCGCACAATAGTCATTGTCTGTCCTATGTTTTAGACTTTACCACCATTGGTGAATAGAATTTTTGGTTTACATTTGTAAATATTATTTAAAACATATATGAACAGTAATTAAGTGTTGCTTTTATATTCATATGTAGAGAAATGACGATATGTTTCCACATGTACGCACTTACTGTTCATACATTGGCGTTCCCAATCGGTCTCGCTTTATTTCTTTACCATTAGTGGTTAGCTACTTCTAGTGTTCCATTTATTAACATTAAATAACACTACATAAAACATACAAACAGGTATTCAATTTTTTTTAAATTAAATTCATTACAGCTACAACCAGGGTCTTATTTTCTTCAGTTTCTTATGTAGAACCATCGTCACTCACGAAAACAATGCCGTCTAGTCTCCTCGTGTGTTTTAATATTCTTAAGTATTATTTATGAATTGCATTGTTCATTTCACATATATAAACACTAATTCAATCAAATGCTTATTCAGTAATGAACAATAATGAATCTTTTGTACATATTCTTAAGATAAATGACGGTTTCCTTGAGTGCGCACGTATACATTGGCGTTCCACTATGTCTCACTTTCTTTTTAATATCAGTGGTTACTTCTACTGTACATTAAATAACATTAATTAAAACATACACATTTTTTACGTTAATTTTACTACAACAAGGGTCTTATTTTCTTGAGTTTCAGGTGGATAACTGCCATAATGGGTGTAAACACTGACAACAATGCCGTCTCTTATCCTCTTGTGTGTTTTAATATTCTACGTATTATTAATGAATTGCATTGTTCATTTTGCATATAAAAAGATTAATTCAACCAAATACATATTCAGTAATTAACAAAATGAATCTTTTGTACATATTCTTATAAATATAAACGACGCTGTGGTTAGCTACTTTTATTGTTCCATTTATTAACATTAAATAACATTACTTAAAACATATACAGTATATTCATTTTTTTACATTAACTTTACTACAGCTACAACCAGGGTCTTATTTTGTTCATTTTCTCGTGTAGAACTATCGTCCCGGTCTCCCGGCTGTAAACACTAACGAAAACAATGGCGTCCCATCTCCTCTTGTGTGACCATATTATTATTCATTTATATTGTATAAGGTGCATTCAGAAACATTATTTAAAGAATATAGTTTGCAATTTTCATTAATTGTATTGTTTTGGGGAGAAGAGGGTAAAAAGACACAAAAGATATGAAAAGATCACACTAGGGAACTCAGCTCATTATTATTGTTTTATTTTCATGGTAATTAATGATTCACGATACGATGATTCACCTTACACTGAAATATTGGAGGACACATTACTGTCGTTATTCGAGGCCTTACCGTGTGTGTGTGTGTGTGTGTGTGTGTGTGTGTGTATACTCCTCGACTTACGACCACCCGGACAAACGACGCCTAAGTCGCATAAAATATTTTTCAAATTACGTATTTTCGAGTCCCGATGTTAGTGATCGCGCTGTGTACCGACAAAATTTTTGTTTGTAATTCCCTTTAAAATGACTGGAAAGCATAAAAGTGAGTTCTCATGGTACTGAGAAGAAAAAGAGACACCCATTTTAGTTTTTCTATGTATTATTTTCACATTTTCAACTTACGACCAATTCGACTTCCGACCTGGTCGTTGGTCCCTAACCCCGCAGCGGAAAGACGCCCAAACAAGAAAGCCTCAGCTTCCTGATCGTGCACCTCCTCCTCCCGACTCTGATTCCGACATGGACGACCCAATTCCTGCCGCTCCCAGCTCTGACCTCCCTCTGCCTCCCCTTCCAAAGCGTAGGAGAACTTGTAACTCCCCTGCCTTCATCGTGATATTCATCAGTGGCAAAGGAGAGAAAAATGGGCTCTACACAAACAGCCAGCAAGGAATGGCGAGTGTTCATCTATTTCTTTATAACTGTTGCCATTTTTTGCTTGTGGGAATATTAATTCATTTACTCTAGTAATGATGTTTTTATTATGTAATTATAGGAAAACTAATGGTTTATATAATTTGTTTGTCACTGAGCCCATACATTTTCACTGACTACAAAATATGTTTTCCTCCCATGCGTACCCCTGCCATCTCCCATACGTACTGTGTGCCTGGCTACGTCTGGCAACGGAGGCGGTTAAGGGGAGTGAGTGACTGCTAGTTAGTGTGTCATCTACAGTTGTAACTCTCCTCACTCCCTGCCATATTTCACTGGATTTACTGTTATTAATAGTGTTTACTGATAGAATTGTGCCTAACAGTGATTATCATGCCATTGTAGCTAGGTTAGCTCATCATTGTAACCACCAGGCTACTGGCCAAGCTTTGAGGTGGGTTTTTTTTTCAACTCGTATTTTTGGGCAGATACAGTGGTCCCTCGGTTAACAACACAATTCGTTCCAGAAGGTCGTTCGTTTACCGAAACCATTGTTTCAATGGGATATCGGGTAATTGGTTCCAGCTCACAGAAAAGTATATACAAAGTAAAGCCAAAAATGCCTTAAGTCAGAAACACTCCTAAAATTCCCTTAAATCACTATACAGTGGGGTATGCTATAACGAATCTAATTGGTTCCAGAACCTCGTTCGTTATAGCATTCGTTTGTTATAGGATTAATCAGTTCCAGGCCCCCAAATACAACCACTTAACACTGAAAAATATAATATAAAATTGTAAAAATTGTAAAAAAGTGCATAAATATGCATCTAAACCCCTGAAATAAAGAATATCATTAATATTTGTAATAATAAAACTAAATTAGAAAAAAAAAAAATTAAATTATGTTCGTTGTAGGAGTTTCGTTCGTTATAGCATTCTCAATTTTATAGGTAAAACCGTTCGTTATAGGAATATTCATAGTAGGATCCGTTCGTTATAGCATACCCCACTGTATATATCGTACATATACACTAGAACTCTTAAATCACTACTGTAATGTGATACAGGTGATTAATTTTATCTCTTGTGCAAAATATATGATGTTTATATTCAAATTATTCCGTCTTGCGAGGATTTCAGCAATGCAAATTATATTATCCTAACTTTAGTCTGAGAAATTATATAAAATAAACACCTTAAAGCCTAAAGAAAATGCCAAACTTTTGTCTGGGAACGCAAGGAGGGAGGGGGGGCCAGGAGCGTGGGAAGAGGGGGGGAGCGGGAGGTGAGGTGACAGATAGTGTCTGGTGAAGTATAATTTGTTTATTTATTTGAGATTTTTGTTTTTAGCTCATAAAATTCATAGAAATTACCCGGCCAGAATATAATTTACATTGCTGGAATTCTTATAAGATAGTGATTAATTTGAATATAAACAAGCTAAAATCTGCATTAGACATACAAATTTTAGATCTAATTTTAGAATTTTATTAGGGAGAGCAAAAATTTTTTCTTTTGTGCAAAATATATGACGTTTATATTGAAATTACTCCCCGTCTTGCAAGGATTTCAGCAATCCAAATTATATTATCCTAACTTTAGTCTGAGGTATTATTTATTTTTAAACCTGTAAACCTAGTGCTTTTCCCCAAACATTTCTCAGGAAGGTGGGGGTAGGGAGGGAGGGGTGACAGTGACATGTTTGACAGTTGGCACCTGTGGTGTAAAGTATTTAGTTGTTAATTTATGTCCTTTAGACTGAGTTTTTGTTTTTTTTGCTTATAAAATTTAATGGAAGTGACCGGGTGAATTTAATTTGCATTGCTGGGATTCTTATAAGATAGTGATTAATTTGAATGTAAACATAGAAGAGATCACTGAATTGGCTGAGTACCTCCTCGGCTTAACAGCTGATGTTCAAAACAAAACGTGATTTTCGTAAGGATTTCGTTAATCGAATTTTTTTTCGTTAACCGAATTGAAGATTTTTATGGAAGGTAATCCTTTAACCGAAATTTCGTTAACCGAGGGACCACTGTATATACATAATCTTCTGCATTTATTTTTACTCATTTACATGCACACACCATCTAACAAATATTGTGAAAAAGTATACAGATTACACCACAATTACCAACACCCATCATGTTGGGTTGGCTAGATGGTTACGAAAGAAATTCTGTAAGTTTGATCTACGTATCAACCCAGCTGGCACCATATGGCAACTCGACCAACTCAACTTTAATAACAAAGCATGGAGTTGACTTGAGGGTAAATTCGCATTTTTTCTACATTACATTTTGTTGACGTGTTTCTTATTTCAGTATTTGTGAGACGATGCCCCCATTATTATTCATTTGTATGCATTTTAATAATAACAATTATAATTAACGGTTTATTGAAAGAGCATGGCAGCCAGTAGACTGAAAATATACAGTTACATATTTGGGGAATGGGTCACTTGACTGACAAATAATACAAGTGATACAAATATGATGTATAATAACAAGGTGAGGAGAAGGATATACCACAGGGCATTTCAACAAAGTGACAGTGCAAAAAGGTCAGACTGACTGGGAGTGAATACATACACTGGCTGATTACGATTGTTGATAATTTTTATAATGGTTGGGACTAGCCTGTTCTTATAGCATGTGTATGTGTGTGTACACATATATACAAGTAAAAGAAATAACTGTCCTAAGGGCAAACACAAAGGGAATATACATTTCTTTGTGCACAAGCAAAAATGCCCCCCGCCCCCGCCGCAAAAGTTATTCGGGGATTTGGCGATTCGCCGCCATTTTTGAGAACCTAACGCCCCCGAATTTGCCCCCTGTACAGTATATGCAACTAACCACTTTTTACAGCTTAACACCCCTCTAATAATATTCTTGGCTGATTATAATCTGGCACAGTACTACACAACACAGATCGTATGCAAAAACAGCAGTAAGTGAAAAGCTTGTACAGTAATAACTCCGTTAACATGAATCCCCAAACCCTGAACTTTCCGATAGCCGGAATTGAAATTTTCTCGCGAACGATTTCGGAAAGGCACATTTTCCGGAAATTCCCGAGAAAATTTTCCCATTATCCGGAAAATTCCGGGGATGTTTTTTTCCCCGGGTTTGAGAGATGAAAATCAGGCGCATTTTCTGGAACTTCCGAGAACATTTTTCCGTTACCCGGAAAATTCCTGGGAGGAGGGATTTTTTCCGGCTTTGAGAGCCGTCTCGTTACCCGGAAATCTCTCATTCCCGGAAATGCTCTGCACCAATTGTTCTGGCTAACAGGGAAATCACTTGTACAATGGCAGCAGACAATGAACTAAAAATATCATGATGCAAGGGTTTGAGGGGATAGGCTGCAAGATATATCAGCCAATCATAGGTATCCCATGTAGTCACATGACGGTAGAGGTCAAACATAGCTCACGAGCACTCTGAGCTACCCACCCACTTAGCCAGCACAAGTTCCTCCATTGGAAACATGATACAATCTCTCGATTACTTGTTCCCATGCCCAGAATAGAGGCATTTTCCAGAAGTGCGCATAATTTCATCCTCAGAAATTTATACCTATGCCCAGTAAGGAGATTTTTTTTCCCCCAGAAAAAAAAAAAGCTATTGGGGGGTTTCAGGGATCGAAGCTTTCAGCTTAGAGATAACTGTATTTTGGTGGGAAAATGTACATTATTATCCAACTTTGTCATGATTGAATATGCATGCAACTGCCAGATGTGCTAGCAAATTTTACCCAGCCAGTGACTCAAGAAGTAATGGGACGATTATAAAGTCCTGTTAGAAATAACTCCAATAAGCACATACCTGTAAGATTGCATCACGAAACCCCACAGGGTCGTATTTCGCTTTCTCATCTCTCTTTCGAGTCTTTATGCGCTGCCCCTGGAGCGTGGGTTTTTCAGCTTTAGTAGTCATACAACAGACAACTGCAGAACAAAACAAAACATCACATTAGAAAAGTCTAAATTATGCATAATGATACCAGAAACCAAGTAATACATTCTAATTAAAACTAAGAGTATGTAATTCAATAGGAATATTCATTTCAAATTTTAATCTACATTACAAAATATCTCCCTAGATATTAATACAATATACAGTAATGATTACTTTCTTTTTACCAAACAGAAAAAATTCTTACAAGTTCTCAACTATACAGTACAGTAAACTGTCCTGTTCAAACTTCAAAGATGACATTTCTCACTGTTCCATCCACATCCAGTACACCACTCTCACTCTATTTATACCTTTCACCTTCAACCTTATGTATTCCTAATTTTACCAAGATTTAATAAAGTACTGTACACCCTTTCTTAATTATGGTTTCATCCTCACTACACAGAGCTATATACCCATCCTTTTTTAAATCTAAAAATCATCAATCCTCTTACCTTTTTACTGCAACAAAATTATTCCTTCAACAGTACAATACACAAGAAGGGTCACTTTTCCTAACACTTAAAAGTTTTTGCAATTTAACTGATGAAATAGGGAAGAAACCTAACATAGCTGTGTTCAGAGCTAGAAGACTTAATGTTGGCACTATGTGAGGGCTAGATAGTCAAGAAATGGAGCCCTATAACGGTGGATGTCTGTTGTGCACAAAAAACTAGATGGAAAGGAGTGTTAGTTAAATCTTTTAAATGGGAAGTGATTCTGGATCAGCTGGAGTAGGGATCTTGACTGCTGAAAATTGGGTGGAGAAAATACTAAATGGTAACAGGGTAAATGTGAGATTTATGGTTTTGATGTTACTAGAGGCAAGAATCTGTAAACTGTTTTATCTGTGTATGCCCCACAGGTTGGACTAAGTGTGGAAGAAAAGGACAAGTTGCTACATGTAGTATCAAAAATTGTAGAACTGGGTGGTGTCCTAAACAGCAATAAATTTTGTTGAACACAGCAGGTTTATGAAGATGTGAATATGATTTTAAGCAACTGCTTAAGAAGAGGGAGGGCAAGTAAGCTGATGGGTGATAGCTGGGAAGAATGTGTGCCTTGCAGCAAGGAATGCTCAAGTGTGACATGTTGCTAAAAATACACAGGGAAAGGAAAGAGTATGTTTCAAGGAGGAGTGTGGAAATTAAGGGAATAAAATATAAAGGAAGCATTTTATGCCGAGTTTTAAAAGCAGAAACTGCCACCAACAGCGTAAAGAATAATGTATCAAGTTGCTGGATCACAAAAATAGTTTGTTAAGTGTGGCTGCCAAGATCTGTGCGAGTAATGATTATGGTAATGTGGTTAACAACGAAGTAATCTAGGCTGCTTTAAAAAATACTACAGTATAATCATTGATTGAAGTCTGAATGGGATTGCTGCAGCCTCAAGCAGCACAGCCCATACAGGGCCCAAACCCAAGGATTGAGAGTAAAGGGGGTAAATAATGTGATTGACAATATGAAGAATGGAAAGGCTGCTGGTAAATTGGGAACAGTTGCAGAAATGTTATAAGCATCAAATGATTTTGGCAGGACATTGTCACCAGAATTGATCAGTTGTTAGATCAGGTTATGATAGTTGTGGAAAGTGATAAATGAAATTGATAAAGAAGAGTGGACATGAACCCTCTCGCGCACTCATTAAGTTTTTAAATTTCCATGATCACGGCAAAAGTCGTATGGGACCACTCACGTGAGGTTTGGTCATCTTTTTGCAACCAATTTATCTTGGCATTTTTTTTCTGCATGATCTATACACCACTGGTTTCAGCATTGTTTTGGCTTTAACATAAGCAGAAAAAATAAATAAGACTAGAATAAGACTATTTCTTCACTCTGAATAAAGAAAAATTATTTGTTCCCAGCATCATCTCATATTTTCTCACAAACCTACCAAGGTATTATATAGTTATAGAAGTAGAATTTTATAAACTTTCCAACACTGGATTTAAAATGTTGATATAAATAACTGTGGGGAGGGTGGGAGAGGAAATAGGCGAATGCGACCTACCAGCATGGCTTGCAGGAGGAAACTAATGGACAGCGGAACTCCACCCAAGCTTCCCTCACAAGATCATGCATTCATCTATAATGCACAAAACTTTGAAGCAATTATCTAGGGGGGAGGGGAAGGGTGTGTAAAAGAATAATGATGCAAGTAGTGCTACCCAATGATTTTACGCGATTTGTCATGATGCACGAGATGGTTATTGAAATGCATTCTGGGTTCATGCCAGGCAGACAGACTATAGAGGCAATATTTATGGCCAGGTAAAGTAGATATGCAATGGGATGCTGAAAGATAGGAAACCCTGTTCATGGCTCAAGAACTGCCGAGTATAAACGGTGAGGAAAGTTAAAAATCTAAGGTGAGAGTAGGGTCCACCAAGGGTCTGTATTGAGTCCTTTTCTGTTTATCATTGGGCTAAAGGCACTACTGTCAGATTTTAAGGCTGGCTTGCCTTTAGAGTTGTTGTATGCAAACAACTTAAGTGCTGATAACAGATAATGTTGATGAGGTAGTGGAGAAATCTCAGAATTGGAAGGACGATATGGAGTTGAAGGGTATGAGAGTGAACATGGCAAAAACAAAAGTAATGGCATGGGTAAGGGACCTGTGGTGGAAAGTGGCCATGTGCAGTCTGAAAGAAAGGTGTTGGTAGCAACTCAATGTGCAGGGAATGTGAAAGGTTGGCACACTAGATGTACAAGTATTGTACAGTAACAGGCAGACTGCTTATGTTGCTGACATAGGTGTGCTGATATGCAGATACAGTAGGCCCTTCAAATTCGCGGGGGTTAGGTTTTCAAAATGGCTGTGAATCACCAAATTCCGCGAATGACATTTGCTTACATTTTACTTGTGTACAAAGAAATGTATATTCCCTTGATATGTTTGCCCTTAGGCAAACACACACACACATACAATACAGGTAAAGGAAATTGCTGTCTCTAGAATGAATGGCTCCCTGTCCCAGCCGTGAAAATCCCAGCAATTTTAAAACTACCCACAGACATTCTTGGGTACATCCAGCGTGTCATCCGTGAATAATAGAGGACCGAGAAATAAAAATCCGCGAATTATCCGGGCGTAATTTATGTGGCTTTAGGAAGGCTGGAGAATATCAACAATGGGGATATATCCCTGGATTGTGTTAATGAGTTGTGCTACCTGGTTGACAATCATTGCTAATTGGGGTACTGAAGCCAGCTCAGTTGCAAGTCAGAAGTGGCTGAAAGAAATTTATGGAGTTGTTCTCTTTAATGACAGAGGAAAGAAAACAGTCTTGATAAGGGTGATGATTTATAGCATTAAAAATGGGTAGTTAATACTTAAGGATGACATATGTAGGCTTGAGTGAACTGAAATGAGAATGAAGAGATGGATGCGTAATATGACGCATGAAATCCTGTTCGGCAGCAGCTGAATATTAAGTAGTGGTAAGGTTTTGTATGGGGCCAAACATAGTCTGGTTTGGATAGAATGGAGATGACCAAGCGGGTCAAGAAATGCACGAGGAGAGCTTGGGATATGCAAAGAATGACAGTGAGGTTGTATGAAATAACCTAAGAGAAGAACCTGACAAGAGTGGCATCAGGAGACCATGCAGCATGGATATCTACCATTAGGTCATCATGGCTAACCCACACAAATGTGGGAAAATGGATATTAAACAGTGATGATAAATGAATAAGATGAAAGTAAACTTCTACAATCCACTTGAAACTTAACAAATATACCAATTTAGTTAACATAGCTGCAGCATGGCTGCTGCCAGACATAAAATGGCATATATTAGTTTACAGCTAGACATTGATATTGAACATGTGTGTTTCTCTTGTTAACCCAGTACTTTTTATTTAATAATTAAATACTTTGACGAAATACTTATAAATTTGTTACCTTAAAGAGCTATCATATAAACTTTAAATTAAGGAATTAGCTATGTACAAATGATCTACAGTCTGCCGAGTGCAAAGCTGAGGTAAGAAACATTAAATAATTTTAATTTTCCAGTTAAAAATCATCTACAGTCCCTCTTATGTGAACTGCCATGAAGCAACAAGGAGACCTGCTTAGAAATGTAGTGTACAGCCGAATTGGAGATTATGCGAGTACACACCAATATTCCTTCCAGCACATTGTTGTAAGAAATTTTTTATACAGCAGTACAGTACAGTACAGCATATTTCATAAATCACTGTTCTTGATACAAACTCGCCAGATACTTCGTTATTTTACCTGTGCTCGGGTTGGCTAATAGCCGTAAATTAAAAATCTAGAAATGAATCTATGAAATATCTGGCCAGGTTATTGCTCAAAGAGGGTTGGATGCATGGGTGGCAGGATGTGTGAGGCTTAGGGCAAACTAAATTAAAATGGCGGCCACGTGAACACTGGTTCCAACTTGCGTGTCGGTGGGCTTACTTTCATGAAAGGCTGATTAAATACAGTACAAATAATTTCCTAAATGTAGGAAGAATTGTGTTCAGCACTCACATTCAACAAGGAACAACTGTTCTGAGAGGTGTAAATGCTGTACTAAAGAAGTGTTAATTAAACTTACCTCAACCTACAACACTGGCTGAACTACACTTATCAAAAACATATACCCTGTATTGTACAGTATATGGCAATAAAACCTGGAAACCTCATCTAACCAACTTTATTAGCTGAACTAATCATTTGTGTTAAACACCAATGTTGTATACAAAAAACTTCAGATAAAAATACAACTACAGTATATCATGCATCAACTGAGCAGCGGCAGAGTACACAACTGTACAGTATTTGTTTGAATTTGATTTTACTCAAATATTAGACACCAAAGTAAATAATGTATAATGGTAGCCACCATTATGTAGCAAATTTGTTGATCACCACAATGGGATATATATTTATAAATATATCATTTAACCTTTTAAAATTATAAAATCTAAATTATTAGTTACAGTATTTTTTTTATTCGTGCCTGGAAGGTAGCATGCATTTTAATAATGTACACTCAAACATGGAATTTTATGGAATGTACTTGGTAAACAAAAATGATGGTATCAGTTGATTGGTGCACAATAACAGACAAAGCAGCAACAGTAAATCATTCCCATGTTCTTCCAGGTCTTCTAGGAAAATTCTGGATTCGTGAGATGGGGTTACATGGACAGCCAGTTTTTAAATGTTGGATTATTAAATTTAAACCCCTGGTATTCACTTAATTGACATAATATAAGCTGAGGCTACATTAAAATTTACACACACACACAGAGAGCAGGCACTTGGTGCAGCATTGAGGTGCAGAGAACAGTAAAATAAGACAACAAAGAAGCCAGTAAAACATGCCATCTGCCAGCTTTTAAATACAACAATGTTACAGAAATTCAATAAATAACTGGTATTGCCATCCATGGGATAACCAAAGCTTGAAAAATCATGGGCATGCATATTACCTTAATAAAATCAATTTAAAGTACTGTTACACACATGGATCCACATACAACTACACCACCATACTGTACAAACACTGCACAAAAATGTTTGCTAACAACTCCACTCTTAAACAGGTAAACCAGAATCTACGTTACACTTGGTAAAGTAAACAAAAACTTGCTAAATACTTATTGCTTGACCCATTTTGTTCATGTATGTTCACACACGCTAGCATTCACTATTTTCATCTGAATTCTGTCTTAACCTCTACAACAGCTCAGTAACACACAATTTGTCAAAATCAAAGGTCAATGCAAAATGCATTTTCTCAGAAATAACCAAGTTGAGCCCCACCCACATCTGTGACTGCACCAGTCAACAGCTAAGTCAGCACCATGACCAACCTGTTAACAGCTAGGTCAGCACCATGACCACACCTGTCAATAATTAGACCAGCACCATCAACAAACCTGTCAATGGTTAGGTCAGCACTTTAAACATACCGGCCAATGGCTAAGTCAGTACCATGACCACACAGATTTTGAGGTACAGTTCTGTAAGCAATGTTTCTACAGTTTAAGGTCTGGCCATCAAAACAATCTACCTTCTTTTTTTAAATGATTTTTAAACATTATCACCTTACATACAGTATATATAAATATATATATCTCCCACCAAATCCTCTCTCGTTACTTTAAATAAAAAGATCTTGACTGTACAACTGAATTTAAATTCACCAATTATAAACTGCAAATTAATTAAATGGAAACATGAAAATCCAGCAACACCCTTAATGTTAAAATGAAACCCTCATACTAAAATCATTCAAATGCTAGAACTACTATAAATGCTGAAACATTGTCACTAAAGCAATTCTGAGGACTGTGAATACTCCAGCTTCAATTGTCCAGTTCTTATCGATGGATAAAAATAATTACTGTATGAAAGTAACAAATATACTGTAATACCCATTTTTCGTCTACACGCGCTATTACTGCATACATATTCAGCTTCAGTTTCTTTAGCCAACAAATATAAAACAAAGTTAATGTTACCTGTGATTAAGGATAATACAAACAAATGTCAAAATACATGTGATGGTAGAAGACCCTACAGTGCCAGAGGAAATTTGTAGCTTAAATATTGTACAGTATATGAACCTGAATATAACCTACCATAATTCATATTTATAAATGATAAAAATGTTCCTTAACCCCTTGGCTGTGGGAGTGACTCCAATTCATTGCTGTCAAAAATCTTTTTGAACGTTCCGTGCAATTCTCCAACATTCCCTGCACTACAAAATGGCCAGCAACTCCTGGGAAGTGCTGCCAATATGTGGCAGTTGAGTCAACTATAAGTGTTTACAAGCAAATCATGTTAGCACCTCACCCATGCCACCAATGCGGTTTTTCTCCTTGTCTTGTATAGTAATGTCTTTTAACCATAACCTAGGTAAGCTTTGATGGTAATATTAACATATGCTTAGTAAATGTGTGATATGTATTATGCTGCTGCATAAGATAAAGGAAATAATACAAAATTACAAAGTATATGAAGAGATGTAAAGGGTTGGCATCCCTTTAACTCCCACATGCTTTACAGCATTATGGGTGTGAGGAAGTAGTCCATGATATCTGAGGATATCAATACCATTGCAGTCAATAACATTGTTCAAATAAAATGTTTGATTGTGCTATTTTGTTTGCTTTACCTGACATCTAAGCAAAATTACAAAATCTTTTAATATTTTTTTACCTAAAATTTAGTACAGTTTGCAGTATATGAACATGATATGGAGTAGTACAGTACTGTATTTTGATGATTTGTTTTTAATATAAGAGTAAAACTGAGTATATTCCCCCATTTGAAATAGTTTAGGCCAACTTTTTTTAGCATTAATGGATGACACCAAAAAATTTATTTTCTCAATTTTGTCAAAATAATTATTCTCTACTATAAAATATTGTTTGTAGGCACTCTTAATGACAGATATAGAAGCTAAATGGTTTTGTCTTGTTAGAAAAAAATTCAATTAACATGCATTTCTCGTGGAGAATTGATGCATTTTGTGAATGGACTGTGAAATAAGATATGCAGCCAAAGGGTTAACTAAAAAAAATACAAAACATTTAAAATCTAGTCATAAACAATTGGCCTACATCACCCACCCGCTCCAAAAAATAATATATGCTATTCTGCAATCAGCTATACTGTACGTATATCACAATAACTAGCCTTCTACTAAGTCTTTGTAATGGCCTTCTACAGCTTAAAGCCTGTCCTTGCACAAATTAACAAATGGAGCTAACCATCACTTGTTCGATTTTATAAAAGAAATTTCTTGTAATGTATAAGATATAATTTCAAATAAATTGATACTGTAATACACTTAATTAGCAATTCTTTGCCCCTCATAATAGTATTGATGACTTATAAATTACATCATTTAAATACCTAAGACCCCAACAAACTTATCTGGGATGAAGATTGGGAGTCACTGAGGCAACGATTTTGAGTTAGGCCCCTGAATATCTTGTTCAATTTGCCCAATTGACAATGTGAATTACAGTACTGTACAGTTGGGTCTCATTACGCGGTTAATGTAACCCGGAGGGTACAGCGGAAAGTGAGGAACGCATAAAGTGAACAACATAACATATGGGATTAATTGAAATGGAGTCCAGGCCGATCCCCAAACTCCACTTTTTGACGACACACAACTATGTTGTAGTAAAAATATTATCTTAACTTTATGATGGCATGCACACACAATTAATAATTAAGAGAAATATCAATAATATTAGGTTTTTTAACACTTACATTAGTAGAAAAGATGGCTGGGCACACGGGGATGGGCGGTTGGTTCCGAGGCAGAGGGCAGATTATTGGCCCTCACCTGTATCACTTGTATCAATTGTATCACTATCCACCACAGAGGCTTGCAGGGCCTCTTTGTCAAACCCCCCAAAGTTCATATAAGTCCATATCCTCACTATAATTATCACTATCACTGACTTGGGCCGGCTGTAGTGGGTGGCGGGTGAAGAACTGGTAATGTTTTGATGACTGGGCGACCTTGTGCGCACCATTTTCGCGCCTCTTACACAACATGGCGGATGGCGGGAGGTTTGGATCCAAAAATGGCGCGGCTTGCCAGCCGCTCTCCGCGTAATGGGGTTCACGACCGCGGAATGTGAGCATGTTAGGTTCCGGCAGGGCACCGCGTTAACGGTGAACCGCGTAATGTGAGGGTTGACTGTACAGCATTTCAAAACATATTGGGCATAATCACCACAAAGATTAATATAATGTCTTGTGTGAGCAAAAGAATTTATACAACTTCTACAGATAATAATAGATTAGTACTGTACTGTACATGTATAAAGTTGGGTGCTAAAAGTAGTCAGCTATATCTATGGTGAAAGAATTTATGCCCAATAGACTTCACTTGTCAACAAGTCTTATAATTGCACATTTCTAATATTGCAGAATGATCACTGTTCCTCTGATTCATAGTGTCTTACCTCTACCTTAATCTTAAACAACTTAGTTTAATTATACAGCACAAAGATTCAATTTTTTTATATACTGTATATTAGCTACAACACAAGAAAAATAGATTGAGCCTTACAAATGAAGTTAGCTGACAACAAAAATACAAAAACTAAGTCTGATTTACACTAAAGCCCAGCTGGCAAATATACAACAGCTCTCATCTACAAACAGATTGTGGATTGAAAGGAAAAACCTGGCCTTGCTCCCTTCTCCATGGCCAAGACTCCCCCTCACCCACTGATTTCTGAAGAATATATTTTAAAATCTTATCAGGAAAGATAATATTTAGTTATAAGTATGTCATGTAGCTTACACTACAAGGCATCTTACTGAATGATGGAGGTGATACTGTAGTTAAGAAAATTGTGGAATATGAGCAAATGTGTTAGGTAATTGTAGACCTGCTTTTAGCATCATCCATTTCAAATCATAATATTTAACAGTTCAATACAGGGTACTGTCTTTAAAGTTTACTCAACTGTAAATACCTTCTAAACACCCCAAATTTGTTAAGCAAATTTTTAACATCATCTACCAATATCCGAGCTTTACCTCCACTACATGGATTCTGTATACTATACTGCACAGTATATTACTGTACAGTACTCTCATCTACAACCCAAATCAATATTATCCATCTACATTATCAATCTACCGAGACCAACCTTCTTTTTTTGTGTCCCCTGGTGGTCCCGTGGACATTTCACCCTGTTTAATTGGTGTGCTGTTGCCACCTGTTCCAGAAGGCTTCCCTGACATATTATACTTAATGCTGGAAATTAAAGAAAACTTAACATTTAACTTTGTGGAACATTAACCATTATTTCGAGACATTTGATACTTTTCACAAAAGAGATTCACATTTGGGCAGGTCTCTACAACTTAAAAGAAGGATGAAGCTTCCAAAGTTTAAATAAATCTAGAAATTCAATGCAAATTTCAGGCAGTGATCCCTGAACTGAAACATCTTGGCAATGATTTTTACCTAACCAACCTTTTTAAAATTTTTTTTTTGCTCAACTACAAAGTTCACACACACACAATGATACAAAGTTCACACACACACAATGGGGGTCAGGGGATGCATCTTTAAGCATGACATCCTTAAAACATCAACCTTTCTGTATTCACAACAAATTTAAAGGGGGGCCAGTGGTTAAGTCAAAGAAATTTGCAAGTTTCTTTCCACAACTTTTATGCAAAAGGCAGAAGCATCAGCTAGTACTGTATAGATATTTTGCACCTTATCTGAACTTCAATAGGTTCAATATTTAATAGGATTTTTTTTAATACTACTGTACAGTAGAACATTAAACAAAATCCTGCAATAAAAAAACTTTACTCAATCAAATTAACCTGAACGAGAATTGTAAATCTAAAATCTTTCATCTCCTGCTCAGCCAGTCATTAGTTCACTGAGCTTGACTTCCCTCCTAAACACTCTTATACTACTTTGGATAGCAACCATACCCACAGTTTGACCTGTTCCTTCATAAGTTGGTACCTAATCTATGCTCATATCTTAGTTTGGTGTGACTAGGGTGGGCCAATGGATTTTCAGTTAATGGACAAGAAAAAAATATTCATTTAATAAGTACAGTACCATAAAATAGTTTCATTCAAGAAAAATCAAACGCTGAAAAGTAACCAACAATAAAGTCTGCCACCATGTTTGGTGTTTATATCCTCTAGGCCAATCAGTGATTACCCTAAAATGTATACAGTAGCCCAATAAGATTTGTCCATTGTATCGCCCGTCTAGTATCTATTTAGTAAAAATTTTAAGTCCATTATGTCGGGGAAATGGCCTGTAAGTGTGCGTGCTGGCAAACCAGCCAAGGTGCCCAGGAGAGTCATTAGTATGGACGTGAAATGAAGGGCTTAGGCAGGCAAACGTCAGGTCGACGTTGGACGATGGTTATTAAAAAAAAAAAATTATACTGTACGGGGTACTGTATTTTTTTTACGGGGATTAGCCCACCTGGGCACATAACTGACCCATATCAGGGCCTGGGGGGCGAAAATATAATAATAAGTAATAACTACGTATTATTATTATAATTACAACAATTAATAAAATTATAGCAAATTAATACAAATATAAATAATAATAAAATTTTTAATAATAATGACCATAAATAAATACAAAAATGAAAAAAAAATTCAAGAGTGAGAATATACAATATGTATGTTGTGTTGTCCAAGTAAGAGAAACAATTGAAACCTGCAATTGAGCGTAAATGAGGCAGAATGTCAGATCAGCAACCTGGGACTTGGTCACAATTTTTGTGATGTCATATGGCAGCAGGGTCTACGATTAGACAACACATTATGCTTCCAATATCTTCCCAGGCAGTAGTGTACACACACACAGAAAAGCCTAGAATAACAACGGTAAGGTGTCCTCCAATACTGTAGTGTAAGGTGAATCATCGTATCGCGAATCATTAATTACCATTAAAATAGAGCCATAATAATGAGCTGCATTCCCAAGTGTGATCTTTTCATATCTTTTGAGTGGCTTTTTACCCTCTTTTCACCCCAAAACAATACAATTCATGAACATTGCAAACTATTTACTGTTCATATATGTTTTAAATAATATTTACAAATGTAAAACAAAAATTCTACTCACCAATGGTGGTATAGTCTAAAACCTAAGGAAAACCAATGAATATTGTGCGAGTTTTACTCAGATGACCGTGTCATCAGGTTCAACTCTGGCTGCAGCTGTAGGTTCAACTCTGGCTGCAGCTGTAGGTTCAACTCTGGCTGCAGCTGTAGGTTCAACTCTGGCTGCAGCTGTAGGTTTCCATAAAGCTGTTGCTGAACCTGAAGTTGCTGCTGAAGCTGCATATGATGCTGAATTTGATGGTGTAGCTCAAGTTGATGGTTTAGTCCTTCGAATAATAAAAGCTGTCGAAAGAACCTTGCACAGCTGCTTTCCTTTCTCATTATACATCTTTATGTAGAGGTCATATGCGTTTATTCAAATTTTAATGATTTGTTCTGTTAATGGATCCACTTCAGAAAATATGTTCATTGCTTGCTCCATATAATAACCACAGACCTCTCACCTTTTTCATATCGTTTTAACACATTTAGTTTCTCGGCTAAACTCATACACTTTCTATTAGCTTCTGAAACAACACTACCATCACTTGCTCTCTTGCTCATGTTGAATAGGGAAGCAAAAATGCTCTAAGAAAACCGAGGAAACTTTTCTCGTTCCTGTTCAGATGCGTGAAAACAAAGGGACAGCCAAGCTCCAACTGTTGTTTACTGGCTTTGTGCATTACCACTCATTAGCCAGGCAGCTTCTTTGCACAAGGCACTTCTTTTTTGGGGTTATTAATTTTTTTTATAAAACATATCGGGATTTAGTTATTATTTATATGAATCAGAGGCTTTAGTGTATATATATATATATATATATATATATATATGTATATATATATATATGTATATATATGTGTATATATATATGTATATATATGTGTATATATATATGTATATATATGTGTGTATATATATGTATATATATGTATATATATGTGTATATGTATATATATATACAGTATTACCCCGCCTAACGCGGTTTCACTTAACGCGTTTTATCATATACGCGGTGCCTCGCCAGAGCTGAACTTTCACTTAACACGGATTTTTTCCACATATACGCGGTGAGTGTCCGGCTCGAGACGCTATTTTTAGATTTGCGCCACCTGCCACCCTGCCTGACTGCCTGTTTTAGCTCATAAAATTCATACAAATTACCCGGCCAGAATATAATTTACATTGCTGGAATTCTTATAATTTGGTGATCATTTTGAATATAAACATCATATATTTTGCATTAGACATACAAATTTTAGATAACATTTTATCTCTGGGTAACTATGTTATCTTTTGTGCAAAATATATGACATTTATATTCAAAATATTCCTGGTCTTACAAGGAATCCAGCAATGTCAATTATATTATCCTAACTTTAGTTTGAGGTATTATTTATTACAAAAAAGTTAAGTATTCTGGTTTTCCCACACATCTCCTTGGGACGGTTGGTGGGGGGTGGGGGGGAGGGAGGGACCGACCGACCATCTGTTACCCCTTGAAGAATATTTTTTTTTTTTATTAACTGAAGATATTTGTTTTAGCTCATAAAATTCATACAAATTACCCGGTCAGAAAATAATTTACATTGCTGGAATTCTTATAATTTGATGATCATTTTGAATATAAACATCATATATTTTGCATTAGACAAAATTTTTAGATAAAAAGTTTAATCTGAGTAAGTATGTTACCTTTTGTGCAAAATATATGACGTTTATATTCAAAATATTCCTGGTCTTACAAGGAATCCAGCAATGTCAATTATATTATGCTAACTTTAATCTGAGGTATTATTTATTAAAATTTAGTGGTTTTCCCCAAAAAATTTCTCAGGGAGGGAAGAGCCGGCAGTGTAGTGTGAGAGGGGGAGGGAGTTGAGTCCATTATTTGAATGGACATTAACTTGGCGACTGTATTTCTCTATTTCTCTTAAGTATTAATTGTGTGCATGTACCATCATAAAATTAAGATGTTATTTTTACTACAACATAGTTATGTGTCTTCAAAAAGTGGAGTTTGGGGGTCGGGCCGGTTTCTATTGGAATTAATCCCATATGTTCTGTTGTTCACTTAACGCGGATTTCACTTAACACGGGACCCTCTGGGTTCTATTGACCGCGTTAAGTGGGGTACAACTGTATATATATATATATATATATATATATATATATATATATATATATATATATATATATATATATATATATATATATATATATATATATATATATATATATATATATATATATATATATATACACAGGTTGACAATCCCTTATCCAAAATCCTTGGGGCCAGAGGCATTTTGGATTTCGGAATTTTTCGGTTTTCATTTTTTTTAAATTAGCCCACCCGAGCATAAGTCACTGACCCACATTGGGGCCTGGGGGGGAGGGGGGGGAGGGGAAATATTATTATTATTATTATTATTATTATTATTATTATTATTATTATAATAATAATAATAATAATAATAATAATAATTCATAGGTCTAGGTCGTGTTGCTCACTTTTTATCTTTTTTCATTCTTGTATTTCTTTATTATTATTATTATTTTATTAATACAGTATTATTGTTATTATTATAAATGTTAATATTGTATTATATTTTATTATTATTATTATTATTGTTCTCATTATTATTTTATTTTGGTGTATTTTTTAATTAAAAATTTTATTTACTATGAATAATTATTATTATAATTACTGTATTATTATAATTAGTATTACTATTACATTTTCGCCCCGCAGGCCCCGATGTGGGTCAGTTATCTATGCCCGGGTGGGCTAATCCCTGTTAAAAAAAAAAAAAAAAAAATATCGCTCCATAAAAAAAACTTTCGGTTTTCAGAATTTCGGATAAAGGGTTGTCAACCTGAATATCAATTAGTTAATTTTACCGCCACACCACCCCATTAAGTACTGTACTGCGGTGTCCCTCAGGACTCATTTAGTTTAAAACTTGGGTTGAAATACGACGACCGTCTTCAAGGGAAGATGTTGTTTAATAATACGGGCGTGAGTATTGAGGTGATGCGGGGGTAATTATGGCTGTGTGAGAAAGTGACTGCTGTAGTATAGTGAAAATAATACTGTACCTGTAATAATGTATTTACAAGTGAGAGTGTGACTGAACATTCACATGCCAAGAATTG